ATTATAGCCTTCGTTATGTACAAAATAAGATTTGTTTACATTTGTATTTTTCCATATTAATCTGTTAATTAATTTTATATTTATTGAAACTATCACTAGTATTCACCTACGATCTAATTTTATAATTAAAATCGATTCAGCTATTAAACCGTAACACCCAGACAGACATGTGATATCACAGCAAATATACATCGGTTTCAATGATTATTTTAGAACAAAATTTTTAATTATTCCTTAAAAAGATAAACTTTGGTTTTTTCAATGTACATTACAAAGTCGATACAAGTAAATATTTCCAAATTGTTTCTATGCATTGATAATTCGCTATGCCTTTGAATATAATTCCGTATGAAATTTCTACTATTATTATGTGCTACTCATTTTTGGCGTCATTGGCTGAGTTATAGTGATATGTCTCAGGTACTAACTATGTTTATAACGATATAATTTTCTATGCATATACCTACTGAATGTTGGCAGATTTATGGCAACAGAGAAATTAAAAAGAAAATTTAAAAAAATTATAATGATAATATAATCATAATTATATAATATGTAAAACATATTATACGATCGACTATGATTATGTATAAGAAAAATTAAATTCTTGAGAATTAAATATTATAAACTAATTAAGTAATTATAATTTAAATTATTTATAGACTAGTTTTGCCCTTTTTCTTTTTCTAATTGAGAAAAAGTAAACATTCTCATATAACAGGTATTGATAATTATACAATCGTATTTATTTATTTACACTTTATTGGTGCAATAAAAATAATTAATACAGTTAATTTTAATGAGAAGTGACACAAAAGGCGGCCTTATCTCTAAGCAATCTCTTCTAGACAACCTTTGGGTAGAGGACATTGAGAAAAAAGACAAAGGGTAGTTGACGCACTGTTATATAGATACTAATATATACAAATATATTTATTAAATAAATGTAATTTAATAAATGGTTAACGTATAATATTGACCATTCCATAGTTTATATTATTTCGCATTGATATTTTTATTTGTTACATTTGATTGACGTAATTCGCCGTCCATCTGTTTCGCATACTCTCATTCTTTCAAGGTTCAGAAATTGGAATACTAACGATGCTTCCTGTACAGCTGCCCGTCCTCAAACTTTAGTATTTAAACTGTTCTCATTAAAGAAATATAAGTTTTATTATAATTAATTTAGAGAATAAAATCGGATGCCCATAACACTGGTCTTGGTGGTCAGAGGTATTCGTGGGCACACGTTATGGTCATATATGTCCTCGACACGGTTTCCAACAGTCGCCATTGTATTTTGTTTATGACTGATGGCAATTTGCTAACATTTAATGTCATTAACACTTACCTAATAAAAAATAATATAAAAGTAATAGACATCGGTTATTTAGTATCTATAGTACAAAGTCTGCTTATTTGGAAACCAGATGGCGGTGTGAAATATGTCCAATGTACTTACTTATAATTTATAAAAATTCAAATTATTTATTAATTAAAGTTAATTTATGAATATTTTCTTGGAAATTTATTTTTATTTTCTATTTTACGCTTATACAATACATTTCTTTACGTAGTTTATTTAAATAAAATTTCCTGGATATTGTTTATTTTTAAGCATTAAAATGTTAAGCTCAAACATAATGCTGTTATGATGAATATTTTGTATATTATTAAATAACAAATGTCTATAAATAATTTCTACTTGGAACTCTATATAACAGAATTGTTTAATTGTATGTGATAATCGATATGTAGTAGGTATTTACTATATTAGTTAGATGTCTTTCACTCGGTAAATTCCATCAACAATACAATGTAGATGCGACTCCAAAGTTCACCACTATTATACATAAATTAAATACTAAAACTGTGATTTAATAAATAATTCACATTAAAATGATAATAAAACAAGATCCTTGTGGTGGTCATCCATAAATTCATGGGAATTGCAAAAAATGATTCCGCCTACATTAGAAAAATGCATGAGCATTGTGCATACATGCTATTTTAAACACTTTATTTGGTTTTCAAATGCCAATCACTGATGCGTGAAGGTTGGAAAGCAATGTCGTATACGATATGCAAAGGCCACTGTTTATCATTATTTCTTATCCTGGAATATTCTGGACAATATTCACAAAGGTCGATATAAGTATCAGGCGGAGATCCGATACAAATAGACGGAGCGGCGAATGATAAAAACGCTAAAAAATAGCCTATTGGCTAATGAGATGTTTTATAGTACTGCATTTTCAAATGTTGAAATTTGTTTTTGGGGAGGATACAAACATTTAAAACGCTGGCATCGCACAGGCACTCCTCTCGTGTTGTAGGTAATCATGGGCGACGGTAGCCACTTCCTATCAGGTGGGCCATCTGCCCGTATGCCTTATATTATAAGGATAGTTAATTAAACTAAGAAAATCTAAAAGTATATTGTTTGTGTGATTGAAGCAATCACTTCCAATTACAAGATTAGAGCACGCTACGAGTATTTCGATAAATTAACTAGTTGTGTCGAAGCTTTTGTGGTAGGATACTCTGTCTAGCTATTATTGATCTACGAAGACAAAGACACTGAGTTAGATTTTCAGTCTGGTGCTTCACTTTCATGTAAATATTGTTAAAATTTTAATTGAAATTTAATTTGATTGAAAATAAAAGCAATAAGGGATTATTTATTCATAAGCTCATATGATGATTTATTTGTTTTATTTCAGCTGTAGATTTTGAATAGACGTTGTTACATTTCACATGTAATTATAAATACTTCAACATATGTATTTCTACTGTGAAGCAGTTGTGTTTGCATGGCTGTGTTTCGGTTTGAAGGGTGGGATATAGCGTGAATTTACTGGGTACAGAGGAATAACACCTGAGTCCTCAGGATTGGCAACGTATGGGGGATATCATGGGCGAAACACTATACTCTGTTATGTCCATGGTACTGCTCATGTCTATAGGCGACGGTTACCACTTTCCATCAGGTGGGCCGTCAGCTTATTTGCCATTCTAAGTTATATAAAAAAAAATCTTATTTGTTTATTATTGATTACATTCTAACCTGTCTTCACTTCTGATTTTATATTTATTTTCTCCTAGCTTTCAATCTACCCTTGAAAATGATGTAACGAGTGCCAAACAAGAAATTCTAGATCCGTGATTTTATAAAAAAAATCATTGATTCCTCGAATGTCTAGAATTAAACTTACATTTCTTATAGTGGGCATTGTAAACAAGTTTACGGAATATACTGGTGCACCCATGGTGGTATTTCCCATGTACACTCCTCGGAACTAAGGCGTTACGTCAACAAGCCATCTATTAACGGTAAAGACCGTCTTATCCATAAAAATGACAAATTCCAATAAACCTTAACTGTTGATGCGTTTTTTTTTTCTGTTTTCTTCTTTCGTTCACGTTAAATTCTTAATTTGAAAGAGAGTGACAAAATAGTCTAATAGGGTTATTTGAAACATTTGTCTTTATAATATGCCACGAAAAAATGTCTTTAAAATATAAGTTCAATTAATTGTGATTCCGAAAGTACTCGTAATGTTCTATTTATAAAGTATAAAAGTTTAAGAATATATTAAATTGTTTCATTCTTATGTAAAATAAATATAATTGTTAGTACAAATGTTTATATATATATATATATATATATATATATATATATATATATATATATATATATATATATATATATATATATATAGTATAATTAATAATTATATTATACCAATATAATAAAGCTTTATGTTGTTTTTGCTCAATGAATGCTCATTTTGACCGCATAATTAATTATATTGTGCGTTATGTTAAATATAATACATATTTATATATTAAATTATTAATGTTAAATTATAATTGACGAGGCCGTGGCATGTCAGTTTGTGTTGCTTTTGCGTCATTTCTCGTCGGAAGTGAATTTATTGTGTAAACAGATATTTACCTTATTTGAACAAGTTCCTCTAATCCGATGCGCAGTAGGTATTTTAGGTCGCAGGTTTATTCCATAGTGGACAAACGTGTTCAGCTCTCTAATTGCCTGAACCTGAAAGCCATGTCTGTTATACGGGTTAATTGAAGTGCAAAGAAATAAGGTTACACCTGACACATGGACAATTAGACTTGTAAATGTACTGTTTCACTTTATAAAATCACAGTGTTCTAGAATAGTGTAGACATAGGAAAATCCTACTCAGGTATAAGTAAAACAATTAACATAAGATCACGTCTGTACGATTATGACTCAATTACGACAGAAAATCACTGGCTAATTCTTCCGAAATTGTATGTATAATTGTATTATTATGCTGACCTTAATTTGTTTGTGGACAATACGTCCGTGTTTGACTTTATGACTGCATTGCAAAGTTTATCTGAAGCTTTTTTATAATCAAATCTATAATACTAGATTAGAAGATTCTTCTCTCAAAATTAGTAGATTTTTAAAGAAGTTAAACAAGTAAAACATAATAAAAAACATAAAATGTTTATCAAAAACACATTATTTTTTACACAAGTCTTTATTATAAAATTGCAAAACAAAATTAACTATTATTTAAATTTATTTTAAAGAAAACAAACTGAAATATGTCTAAAAGAAGAAAATGATTCAGATATTAACTGGGGAATATTTAACCTATTAGGTCACGATGTATATTTTCAATGTAAATGTATGTTTACTTAGGACGCGGTACGGAAAATGTTAGTAAACACAATGCCACTTGAACAAGATCGATTTCTCACCATCTTGCTCCTGTCTAATAACGAATATTAATTATTGACTAATCGAAGGTCACCTCAGAACCAAACTCAAAATATGCCTCCAGGAACGAAAATGCATATAAACAAGTTTGTTTATACAACCTTGTGATAGGTATCGCTTTTGTTCGAAAACGTTCAGGGACACTCTTGACGTATCAACATGAGCCCGTAAACATATTGGTACGAGCACATTACTTATGCGTATTTTCTTTTTGTTATAGGTTCGTCATCAACCTCTTAGCGACGAATTTGCTGACAACATCCCTGCTAGCGCCCGCACTGTTTGGCGAGCACACCGCAAGGGAGAACGCAGCTTCGTGGATGGAGGCAAGCGATGCCGCAGCATCCGCTTGCAGTCTAGCCGCTCTACTCGCTGTCATGTTGATCGCGTTGGACCAGCACCACGCTGTTACCGATCCTCTTCGTTGTCACACACGCCTGCTACAGCGGCGCCCGGCAGCTCTCTGCGCTGCTACGTGGCTGGCTGCAGCCAGCGCCGCCAGTATTCGCGCAGCGATCGCTGCTGTACGCCACTTTTATCCGCTAGAGCCTGTACTACAAGGAGTCGAGCTGGCATACTACGTCGTGTACTTAATTCTGGGAGTTATCGCGCCTGCAGCTATTGTTTGCGTCATGTATGCAAGAATTTACAGCGCAGCACGTTCTTCTGGACTACGAGCAAGAGCGCACGGAGCGAGCGCGCTACAACTCCACGAGCCACCAGCAAATTTGCCTGACTTGATTGAAGAAGGCGAGGGACTTACGCTCAGAATAGATGTTCCTGACGGATCTGATAATGCGAATCCTACAGATAGTGATCGCAAGTTTGGCCCATTCTTACTTCCACCTGAGCGTCCGCTGCGATGCCCATCTGTCGCCAGTCTACGTAATTCGCGAAAAGATGGGAAGTCGAATGAGGATTTGAGAAAAGGCTTACCTGCTGTCAGCTCAGCACCATCTTTAGCTGCACCGTTGCTAGCTGTACAGCCTCGTACGCCACAACCATCCACCAATGGATCGAGAATAACATCGATCCGATGTCGGATCTCAAATGCGTCGTTGTTCCGATACAGAGAGGAATCTCGCGCAGCCCGTGTTGGAATATTGACTGGTGCGTTAGTGATGCTGCATGTGCCGCATGCAGTGAGTGCGGTTATATCGGCTGCAGTGCCGGGACTTGCTAATAGTGCGCGTACACCCGCTCTCGCGTTACTACTCCTGTCGGCGGCAGCGTCCCCGTTCCTGTTTGCTCTGCGCTCACGACGAGTGCAGCGGGAGGCTCGTCGGCTCTTGCTTCCTGAGAAAAGTCCTTGGGAACGGGGGTCGGGAGCCGCGTCTGCGGCGGCGGTAGACGGGCAACGCGCCCGTGCCGCTCTAGAACTATTGCGTACTTTATCGCCGGGCAGTGGTGGGGGCGAAGCGCCAGCGCCGGGAAACGGCCAGGAGGCGGCCACCTGCCGAGGGTCGTTCAGCTCGGGTGGTAGCACGCAGCTGTCGTCAGCGTCGGACGAGTGACCGCCGCCCCCTCCCCGCGTGCTCAGCCACGCGCCCCGGGTGCACTTTGCCCCACGCCCCACCGCTGTACTCATCTGTGATACTAGGTTAAGCCGTACCGCGCTCAGCGCGACTGTTAGACTGATTTAGTATTAAGTTAATTTATTATTGTGTCCATGTACCTTTCCGCTGAGCGGACGAATTTTTATTACCTGAATATGAGTGTATAAGAATATTAAAAATCTTATCCAGTTATATACTATTTTTATTTTACACCAACGACCTAGTGACCCGAATAGAAATATAATTTGGCGTAAACCGCAATAGTACAGAACTAAAACGTTATATACCAAAAATATTGAAGGTTGAGACAAAATGGAGCAAGCATTTTATGAAAACGTTAAATTACGAAAAGTATATTTTGTAACTCCGCAAATACATTTACTCGTTTGACTCATTTGAAATGGCAGGCTGTTTAGTTAGGTAAAGTAATATACATGAATATGTTGAAATTGCCTGTCTTTAGATTACTCCAAGTTCTATTCACTCAATTAAATAATTTAAGAAGCGATATCTTTAACGTTGTACAAGATATACTGTACAGTATATCGCACTAATATAATAAAATTGTAAGTAAACGAAGTTTGTACATGGGAGATATTTAAGAAAAAAATGTATGAGGGGTCCTAATAAAAGACATTAATACATTTTTTGAAACAATATCTGTCTGTCTGTATGATTGTTCCAGTATTACGTAAAAATTACTGCTTCAAATAGGATGCAGTTTTCACAGTAGTATTCCTAAAGATTAAACTAAAAATATGATATATGTTTTATCCTGATACACCATTTAGAAGTAGTATATTTACATTGATTTTAATATTTCCGAAATCGAGTGAATTTCAGAAAAATTTACATCAACGAAAATACGAATACGAAGAAGCCGGCAAAAAGCTAATTTAACATAAAATGTTTACAAGAAAAAGCAACAACAAATTATAAGCAATAATTTTTTTAAACTATAGGATTTATATAACTATCATTTCTCAAGATCGACACTACATTTATTATTATTGACAAAAAACCATCTTCAATTTAGAATGGGTGGATCCTGAAAATAATTCTGTTTACGTAAGTAACAAGTAACGTAAGTAACTGATAAAAAATAAACAATTGCCTTGGTGATGTTTTGTCTGATGATGACATGGGTTAAATCTCTGCACGACATAAACAGCTATTATTATTATTCTTGACTGTGCCTATTACTTTTCTATTTCGCTTTGAATACTTCCTTTATTACTATTATTGATTAGAAGACTGTCATATATATATATATATATATATATATATATATATATATATATATATATATATATATATATATATATATATATATATATATATTTGTGAATATTAAGTCCTGACCAATTTCGGCGATCGATTTAACTCCGCTATTATTAATTAATTCTCTACACAGGGGGCTATTAAATTATCTAGTGTTGGTATTGGTGTGTCTTACATGGCCATTCTTTTTAATAAAGGTTCTTATACATAGCGGGTATTGCTTTTTTAATTATAAAATTATGCCATTGATAATTGAGCTTTTATTTCGTCTTCTCTTGTGTCCAGTTGAGAAAGACGTGATATTAAAAAAATATTAATTTTTGATTTTGTTAAACATCTCCTTTATAGCAGATTATTAGCTACATGAATAGGTGTAAAATAGACTCTTCCCAATAGATACATATATAATATTAAAAAGGGGAAAGATTTGATTATTTACATAATATAACATAGGATATTCAACTGATTTTAAGAACTTTCACCTATAGAAAGTTACATTATCAGCGATTAATATATAAATTATATTATCTTTTCATTTATCTACTCGCGCGAAGCCAGGGTGGATCACTAGTTTATTAATATATTTATAATTAATACAAATGTATTTAGGTCATACTGCGAGTAAAGTCGTTAGTAAAGCTAACTAATGTTATTTATCACAAACTAAATTAGAAAAAAAACTAAATAAAATTTTAATACAAAAAACTCGATATATATCGTAAAATTGCAGAGCATTCTTTTTACTATACATTTTTACTAGCTAGCTTTCTTTAGCTGTCTTTCACGAGTCTGTACGTATTTCTCATAGATTATGGTCTATCTCTGAACCAGATTATATTAGAATACGACCAGCCATTTTAGCGTGATTGGTTAATAAACATCCAATCATTATAACATCAAATCTTACTACTATAACAAAATTGTAACTACATGATGACGTAGATAAGATATTTACGAAAAAAAAAATAATATGAGAAGAATCTAATACACATAGTTCGAAGAACTGATAAGTGTTGAAATTGGAAGAAAGGTTCTTGAGTGGTGACCACGTATGGTCAAATGCAGTGAAGGACAACCCTCCACTAAATGGAGTGACGACTTCAATTAGATTGCAGGAAGTCAGTGGGGATTCAGGTGGCTCAGGACCATTCCTTATGGCAGTATATAGGGGAGGCTTATGTTCAGCAGTGGACGGATAACCGTTGATATGATGATGATGATGATGATGATGATGATAACACTATATAATACATTTAATTTCTGTGGACAAAATGCCCCTTTATGTTCGCCAAGCTATTACGGTTAACTGGACTGGATAATGGATACACGGGACACTTAACTATTAGTTCCAAATTCCATTTATCTCTTTCAAAGTCTTAACGATGTAAACAGTTTGTCAAATTATGATACGACGCATTATTGTAAGTATATGTTATCGGCTAGGGATGGGCGATATAAACGAGTATATATCTACTTGTAAAGTCGTTTATCTTGACTGAGTGAGTTGCAGCATAGTGCGTTGCAGCAAAGTACGTTACGGGATCGTAAAATCTATTCAGAATTGGTATTGACATTGCGTAGTATCTGTACAAAATATATTTAACAGCTAGTAGTAAATGTTCACTAAGAAAAGGTTTTTGAAAGTTTGAATTTAAAGGGGAAACGCGAGATCATGCGTGCAAAATCACGGGCAACAGATAGTAGTATATATAGTTACTATATCTATATTTTGAACCAATAACGTATGTATATGAAATTTATTTATTTATTCCTTATTGTATAATAAAACTTTGTATAAATAGCGACATTAATGCCATATGGGATTCCTTACCAGCTAACCATTAGGTAAAAATAGAAAGCGTATGAAGCGCAGAGGTGGTGAAAAATATATAGCATAATTATAGTAACATACTAAAATATTTTTATATATATATATATATATATATATATATATATATATATATATATATATATATATATATATATATATATATATATATATATATATATATATATATATATATATATATCAAAACAACTACAAACATTATAATATATAATAACTATTGAGTTAATTATTTGTAACTACACCTGGGTTTGTTGACTCAACAAATAATTGAAATGTCTTCTTTTAAAAATATGCTTACTTATAAATCAAAAGCATTTCTATTTTATTAATATACAAATAGGCTGTACTATTCGAATATTCTAATATCAGTTATCGAATATACGATTATAATATTGAAATTAAGAATCTGATTAAAATTATTGTAGATATTCGACCGTTATGGACGATATTAAAATAGGTGATGACCTTTTCCGCCACCGATATCCAGGAAAACCCAATATATAGATATCGAAGCCGTATCGATATTGCCCATGCCTACTGTCAACTAATATTAGTAGGTGTAGTTATTTGAACAGCTCTTTATCGATCTTTGAAGTAATTTTCTTAAAAGTAGACACTTTATTCATAAGCGGTTATAACTGCTTAGTCGCTCAATTTGTTTTTGATACTAATGGGAGACATTGTTTATATTTCTACAAGCGACTCATCCTGGCTTTGCACAGGTGGAATTTATTACTTTATTTATTTATTCAATAGTGTAATTAGAAAATATTGTACATACCAGACAAAAACACAAAATCTTTGTACAAAAGTCGTTTGCTTGGGCACCGCTGTCCCATTCGTGTTTCTAACGTGAAGCAGTTGTGTTTGCATGGCTGTGTTTCGGTTTGAACGGTGGGATATGGCAGTGAATTTACAGGGTATAGAGGAATTAAACCTGAGTCCTCAGGATTGGCAACGCATTGGGAGTATCATGGACGAAACAGTATACTTTGATATGTCCATGGTACTGCTCATGTCTGTAGGCGACGGGTACCACTTTCCATCAGGTGGGTCGTCAGCTTGTTAGCCATTCTAAGTTAAGCATAAAAAAACCTGGAATCATCGACAATACTCTTACCCTTAGAAAAGACTTTGCCTCACTCTGCGTATTCTATTACTTGTACGAAGAGCTGTGTTCAGAAAAATTGTTCAATATGGTGCCTACGGTCATTTTCTACTATCGTACAACTCAGAATCGACAGCGAGTTGAATGGTCGTGTACAGTACGGCTTCAGAGATCCTTTCTGCCACAAACACCAGAGTTAAGGAATGAACTACTTGTTGAGAGTTTCCCAAGAGACTACTGCATAGGGTTCTAAAAAAAAAGGTAAGAGATTTCTTCAGTGTCGGTAATGCTGGCGTAATGCCCCTGATATTGCAAGCGTTCATAATCTACGATAACCACCTACCATCAAGTGGGACGCATGCTTGTTTGTTACCTCAGTAGTATAAAAAAAATATATTCCGTGATATCTCGCCAATTATGAACTGATTTTTATAACTCTTTTTGTAAACAGTAAAGCTTGCTCCCATATTGGTTGTATTTTAATTTTGTGACGATCGAAGCTACCATTTCTTTTCGCATTGTAAAAAACGTAATATTTCTAAAGTTGGATGGATATCTATGAAAAATTCTATAGTTTATAAGATTGTTCATTTATTCTAGAAGTTGCCCTTTCTCAAAAACAACGTATAACGTCTAAAGTTAGAATATACAAGGAAATTTTGGAAATTTTCACACTACACGTTATTCGAAGAGGTAAAAATTTGGTGTAGTTCGTATAGCGACCTTAACATACCTTGAACTGTCAGTGCTCCTAAATTATTATAGCCCATGCCTCGCGACTTGTTCTTGGCACGAATTATAATTATCATGCACGAGTGTGAATGAATTAAGTCATAGTAAGGTACAATCATTTATTAATCACTATAATATATATTCTAGGCACATCGAAAAAAACTATGTATCACATGCTGGCATGCTACTTAAAATTGTATACGCCATAGGTGTTGGCGTGCT